TGTTTACATTTCATTTCTGAGGCCCCTCAGCTTCTCAGGAGAACAATCCTAGCGAAAGGATTTTCATAGAATATATCAGTGACACCTGGGTGGCCCCAGGCCCCACTCACCCTCACTGGTCTCAGCTTTGAGGATCTGTCACAGTTGGCCACCTTGAGCCTCTCTCGGGCCATGATCTGGCGCTTGAGGTCAGCCAGGGAGATGCTGTGGCCATGAAACGTGACCACATCATAGCCCAGCTTGGAGAACTTGTAGTGCACACCCGACATGGCCCCGAGCCCGCCCTGGCTCAGCACTCGCTGCTCCCAGCCTGAGCTGCCCAGGGGGGCTTGGGCACCTCTGCTGGGCACTGCCAGGGCAGCCAGGACAGACACACAGTCCTGGGCACCACCCAGAGCATTGTGACCTCGTGGCGTGCTGCTGAGGAGCCATGGAACCCCAGAGCTCTGCTCAAAGGACCCTCATTGTCCTCAGCACACAGAGAGCAGCACAGAGCACCAGGGTGGAGGCACTGAGGAAGGCTCCACGTCTTCCTCTGTCACCCTGTCCTTCTAAGCCTTCTGATGCTTACATTTTTGTGATGGTATTTTGTGATGGTGTTTGAGGGTCCCCAGGAAGAGGGAAGAGATGGGAATCTTGCCCCCATGTTTCAGAAGGCTGATTTATTATTGTTTGATCTATATTATATTAAAAGAAAATTATATACTAAAACTATACTAAGGAAAAGAGAAAGGAGACATCAGAAAGCTAGAAAAGAATGAATAATAAAATCCCGTGACTGGACCGTGATTGGTCATCAAGTAAAAACAATCCGTGTGAGACCAATGCACCTGTTGGGAAACCATCTCCAGACCACATTCACAGCCATCAGATAGTTATTGTTTACATTTCTTTTCTGAGGCTTCTCAGCTTCTCGGGAGAAAAATCCTAGCAAAAGGATTTTCATAAAATATGTCAGTGACAGTGTTTCTCACACACATTTCATGTAAATAATGATTGTTTTACCTTCCTTTCTGGAGGAGGAGAGAATTGACAAACTGTTATTTTAACTAGTGTGGTTGGAGAGGTGGCAATTTCATCCTCCAATCCATGGTCACTTTTAGAATTCCATAAATATCAAAATCCAGAAATAAACGCACCTTTTTTGCCTTGGACATCTCAGTGTGTATCGTTCATTTTCTGTTTTATTGTGACATTCCTCAATGGTTCTGTCTGATGAAGGCTGGACGTCTTCATCACTGTGCCCTTTTCACCTCTCTCCTCCAGGCATGTACAGCCTCTTGTTGGCTCTTTCAGTGATTTTCTCACTGGTTTCAGCAAACTTTGTTCTTCATTTCTGCAAGTTCTGCTCCTTATTTCTTGCCAAGTTTCATCCTGGGTCTCTAGCTTGTGACTGAAATTTGGTAGCTCCTGTATTGGTTACCAGGTATCTTTTGGTTTCCTAAGTATGCTTTGTGCTAAAGTTTGGTAGCTCCTCTATTTGTTACCAGGTATTTTATGTTTTCCTCAGTATGCCTAGGCACAGTGCTTTTAACCCTTTTGATGCCAAGACCCTGAACAGGGTCAGGGAGCTGCTGGAGACACAAGAGTGTCTTACCCACCTTGAAAAGAAAAATAAAAATTGGGGATATCAGGGATATCTGCACAGCCTCTGTGACAGCTCTGGGATAAGGCTGCATGGACAGGATTCATGGTATTGTAATCAGGCACCTCTAATTTTCTTGGGGCTTTGCTCTGGAATAAAACCAGCACTGCAAACTTCAGCTGCTCTTGAAAATAATTTAAAACTTTCTGGTAATCTTATTAGGGGAGAATTTTAAATCCAGGAAAAGCAGGAGCCAGGGAGCAAGGGGAAAATCATTCCAGTTTTCCCTGTATCTTAAGCACTTTTCTATAAAGGAACTACAGCTCCTGCATGCAGGAAAACATGGCAGGAGGAGATGGATGTTCCCTTGCTGTATGGGCAGTGCTGAGCCAGGGCCACAGGCAGTTAAGGAAATTCCTAATTGAGATATTCTACCATGAAAAAAACACCAGGCCCTGGCATAAATTCACCCAGTCCTGCCTCAGGGGGACTCTGTGATGCTCAGAGCATCCACATGGACATGGTGGGAACAAGGGATAAGAGAGGCAGGGGTGTGGCTGCTCCTCCTGGAGTGATTCAGTGCCATCCCCATCTCCATGTGCTCTGGAGGGCTGTGGGGGATGGCCTGGAAGGAATGAGGATGACCCAGTCACAATCTGTGCTCAAACACTCACGGATCAGTGCTGGGGTGCAGGGAGGTGGGTCTGGCACAGCACCCTGCAACACTCCTCACCCCAGGGCATTGTGGAAATGTCAGTGAGGGGCTAGGGAGACAATCAGATGGAAAATAACCATGGATTGATAAACAGCACAACCACTCTGAGGCTTGGGAGACACTCGATGGCAGGAGCTGCCAGCCAGGGGATGGTGCTGGGCCTCCTGTCCCCACCTCAGGCATGAGCAAACACTGCTCTGCTCCAGCTCAGCTCCTCCCCACACAGCTCTGCAGCCTCCCAGCCACTGCAGAGCCCCAACACAGACGGCTCCAGGTCACTGCTGGGGCCCAGGGCAGGGGGAGCAGTGCCACAGCCCCGTGGCCCCAGCCCCTTCCAGCTCAGGACCCTTTGTGCCCTGCAGAACACCCTGAACACACCCCAGGATGCCCAAGTTCAGCCACAGAGTTTATTGTTCAGTAGGAGCTCACCACACCAGCAGGCCAGGACAAGGGGGATGGTACATGAATACAGATGTGGAGGAGTTACACAGACAGATTTGTACAGCTTTTGTACAGAGGAAGAAAATGAATCAAATAACAAAATAGACATTAGCAGTCAAACATTTTTTTGTCTTTTTTTTTTTGTATCATACTAACAAAATCTGATAGCCAAAAAATGACTAAGCTACAAAATTGTAATACATACTGTATGGGTAAAAGGTTATCATCCATTTATACATCTAGTATCATCTTTTTTCTGGTAACTTACAGGAGGCCTATAGGATCTTAGTGTATTAATAACTCCCTACAGACAGTGCTGAGCTGTTAAAGCTGCTGAATAACGGAGTATTGGAATTTTCATTAAGACTTTTACAGTGCCATTTGCATTGTTCTGTTTAATGAAACCCTTATGCATCTCTACTCCAAGTCAGAGGAGCTGCTGGTGGCTGGGGGGAGGCAGGAGCTGTAAGGCCTTGGCTGGCAGCTTGGCACCTGGCATTGCAGAGCTGCAACACCCAGGCACTTTGGTACCATCACTGCAGAGCTGTGACACCCAGCTGGCACTTTGGTACCATCACTGCAGAGCTGTGACACCCAGGCAGTTTGGTGCCATAATTCCACAGGACACAGCACGGTGCTGCTCCAGCTCTCTGGATGCTGCAGGGGGGAAAAAGCTGACATTCCCAAGCAAGACTCATTCTTTTCCCCTTTGGTCTTGAGAAATAGAGAAGAAATCACTCCATACTAAGTAGTCTCCACCCAAAGGCTGTTTTTGCAGTGGATGAGGGCTCAGCTCCCAGCAGAACAGCATCACTGACTGTCAGGGCTGCTCCTTCCCTTGGAGCCCAGCTGTGTCACCCCCTGCTCCCCACGCTGCACCCCTGCTCAGGACCCACCTGCAGCTGGAGAACCAGCATGGCACTCTCAGGCTGGGAGAAAGGCTGGGGAGAGCACAGCCCTCCCTCAGCAGCTCCCAGGGAGCGAGGTAAGAGCAAGGCTGAAGCCAGAGGGAGAGTGAAGGCACAAACAGGAACCAGCCCGGATCAACAACAGGACAAGGGGACATCACCACTGCTCCAGGGCCCCAGACTCTCCCAAAGAACCAAGCCAGCAGGACCAAGGATTGTGAAGCACTTTATACACCACCACATAGGTAAAAATAGCACTTAAACTTACAAATAAATAGAGGGGATGGGGACTCTCCCCCTTGTCCTTTCCAAGTTTGTCCCCAGTGTGGTCTCTCACCACCTCAGGGGGGCAGCCAGAGGCTGGTGCCCTGGGGAAGCCTGTGCTAAATTTGGAGAGGGAGGAAGTGAGTGAGTGCAATTCCTCCTTACACAGGGCTGAGCTGAAGCCCACATGAGCACACAAATATCTGTTGGCATTGTGGATGGTCCTGTTTGGGAGCAGCTCCCATGGACCTGCACCCCAGAGGAGCTTCAACCTTCAGCCCTGCCACACAGTGACCACAGAGCCTGCACAGAGAGCCCAGCAGTGCCAGCAGCTCCTGGCTGATCCTCAGGGACCAGCACAGTCATTTACAGCCAGAGGACACCATCAGCACTAATCCTGAACCTGCTCTGACCCCTCTGCTCCTGTGCTGCATTGTCTCCTGAGCTGAACAGGGAAAACCCCAGGTCTGAGCTGCTCTCAGGGGATGGTCCCTGGGCAGAGGCAGGAGCCAGAGACTATTCCAGCCTGGCAGCTTTGGATCTGATCAACAGAACCAAAAACATGGGGACTGACTCCCAGGGGATCCCACTCTGTGCAGAGCCAAAGGGAGGTGGAAACAGAGATGTCTCTGCTGCAGGTGAAGGCAGCTGGCCACGAGTCACTAGGAGACCCAAACAGGAAAATAAATTACAAACCAGCATGGGCCCTCCCTCTTGCAGGTGCCCAGGGAAGCCCACAGGGTCTGCAGACATGACTTCAGAGACCATCCAGCCAACAGGAGCATTTTGGGAAACACCAGCCCCAAATTCTTCAAACCAGCAGTGAGGTACTCACTATTGAGGGCTGTAACAAACAAAAACTCCCTCTGGGACTTTCCAAAATCACTTAGAAGATGAATACTCAGCCAGGAGGGTTTTGGAGACCACTCCTACAACCCCTTGGGAAACTCCCAGAGCTAGGCAGAGATGTGCCAATCTTCCTGGTGATTTGTAAGAGCTGAAGAAACACTTCTACAAGGCAGGATGGAATTCTACATGAATTACTTCCAGCCAGTTCCATGCTATGCCCTGCCTCCTGCTGGGCAGGAGGGACACCAGATGGAGAAGCTCATGGAAGCCATGAGGCTCTCCTCTGAGAAAACACAGGTACCTCAGCAAACAGGGCAGCTTAGCCCTCATCTGTGGCATTCACAATCCCTGAATGTGATTCCTTCACCCAGAAGCCAGGATCAAGTGTCACACTTGAGCCTCTTGCTGAACTCTTCATTCTTTGGCAGGCATGCAAAAACTCTGATGGATGGAGAGTCCAGAAAGCTCTCCTGTCTCAGAATGCAGATTTGTTCAGCTAATGCTGCTAAAATCAATAATGCTTTGAGGAAGGCAGTCAGCAGGTTGTGCCTGTGTGTGGCATTCACATTCTCTGGAAAAATTCCTTCACCCAGGGTTTTCCTCTGGGAAGCTGAGAAGCCTCAGAGAAAAGAAAAACAATTCTTCTCTCATTTGCTTCTCCTGTGTTGTGCTCATGCTCATGTGGAATGTGTTTGAAGATTGTTTACCCACAGGTGATTGTTCCATTGGATTCTGCTGTGAGTTGTTTTCACTCTTTGGACAATCAGGGCCAAGCTGTGTCAGGACTATGGAAAGAGTCAGGAGTTTTCATTATTATCTTTTTAGCATTCAGTAATTCATTATTCTTTAGTATAGTATAGCATTATTTAATATAATGTAGTATAATAAAGTAATAAATTAGTCCTCCTCATCATTCTTCCCTCCTTTCCTTGTGTGGAGTGGGCAGCTAAGGAAAGACAGGGCAGCCTTGCCAGATTTCAGTGCTTGTAAAGAAAAAACACCAGGATCTGTGTTGTCTTCAGTAAGTGTTGTTTGTTTTCCATTGCAGACTGTTGGAAATTCTGGGTCTGCTAATGGGATTCACCAGCAGGATAAATCCCACAAGCAAGAGGTAAGTTTTGAGCAGAATGTTATTTAAAACAATATCTGCTTTGTGTGGCTTCTTGCTTGCTGTAGTGGGGACAGCACTTCGCACAACTCCAGTTCCCAGGTGTGATGGGAACCTCACTAGAAACCCCCTGAAGCCATGGGCAGGGTGGTGAGGGGCACACAGAGAGAGGGGCAGGGCAAAGGGACCTTCCCCACAGCCTCCTGAGTCAGGGCTGTGTCACATCTCCCCTGGCAGCCCCTGCTGGAGCCTGCTCAGCCTCAGCTCTGCTGTCCCCTTTGCATGGGTGACATTTGTGGGACATGCTGTGCTGGCCTCCCACAGCAGACTTCATCCACACATACTGGGCAGAGCAGTGGGCAATCGACTCCATGCCTCTTCCAAAAAATCCTCTGTGCTTTCCAAAAAAGTCTCTGTGCTTTCAAAATAAAGCCTCTGTGCTTTTGCCTAACAAGTTCTGTTTTTTTCCAGGAGAAGCTCTGATAGAGAAGAGGTGGAAAGGATCATTTCACGCCAGTATCAGCTCCTCTGCACAATCAGGAAAAGCAACACCACATCTGGCTTTAGCACCTCCAAAAGACCACACACAGTATTTTCACTTTAAAGCAGGACAATGTTTATAATGTACTAACTGATGTAATCAGGACAATCCAGAGTCCAGCTTTCCAAGACAGCCATTGTTCCAGGAGGGAGCAGAAGGACCTCTCTGGGTTTGGTTTCTTACTTGTATTGGTTTTGACTGTGGAATTTGTATTGTTTGAGCTGCCCTTGTCCCACCAGCTGACATGGTTTGGATGACAGCTGCCCTGACCTCTGGCTCAAGTGTCAGTGGGACTCCACAGGAGCTGCAGAGGGATTTGCCTGTGGTGTTCAAAGCATGTGCCCACAGGCCGCACCCTTTGCACGGGGTCTGGCCCTTCCCTCCCACACTCCCTGGTGTCCTGAGGACCTGCCAAGTGAGTGAGACCTGCTGGGCTGATGATGTGAGGTTTGGGGACGTGTTCCCCTCCTCCCTTTTGGAAGACATCACTGTTGTAGAGCAGAACCTGCACTTAGTTCTTGTATTATAGTATGTCGTGGGAAATAATCCAGTTTCAGAGGGGTATTTATTTTGTTTCTTCTCTCCTGGCATTTGGGGAAGAGGCTGTGGTGGCTGCTATGGGTTTCGGGTCAGGCACACCTTGCCTGGGTGCATTGGCCCTTTTTCCTGCAGTGGGATGTCTGAGCAGGCTGCTGGAGCCCTGTGCCATAGCCATCTGTCCAGCTGGGTCCCCCTCACTCCTGGGGAGTTCCTGGGCTCTGTTTTGAGCTCAGGACTCCACAGGTGCTGGATCCCAGCATTGCTGGCCTTGGAGCTCCATGCTGGGGGCACTCAGTGTGGGACAGACACACTGAACAAAAGGTTCCCTCCTTGCCTGTGCAATTGAACAGCTCACTGTGATTGCCTGGAGCTTTCCAGAGCTGTCCTGGGCTCTCCAGTGTGATGCCCATCCCCTGCTGCCCGAGGTGGAGGAGGTGGAGGGGCTGCTGTGAGCCTCTGATGGCTTCAGCAATCCTCTGTCATGACCTGGGTGTGTTTGGAGCAGAGGCAATCCAAGAGCAGAGCCCACACAGCTCCTGTGTCTGCACCAGCAGAGGATCTTGTTCCTTCTTCCCAAGGCTTTACTCCCACTTTGCACCACAGCTCCCAGGTGATAACAGGGCAGAGGAAGGTGACAACATGCTCTTAAAGGTGTGAAAGAGCCAGCTCAGGGTCACTCTTCAGCAGCACAGGGAACAGTCACAGCAATATTTCTCCAGGCTTCTCCCAGTTAGTGCCACCTCCTCCAGCCTTCTGCTATGATGGGACATCTGTGACAGGACAAGATGGGAGAGGAGATCTGAGCCAGACCCCCAGCAGGTGAACATGAGGGCACATCAGCTCTGTTGCTTTTTGCCCTGATTTCCCACAAAGTTGTATCACTTCTTCTTAGTGGGTTGCCAGACTCCTGCTTCTCTGAAGGATGGGCAGCCAGAAGCAGCCTGGGAAAGACCTGAGCTTCAGGACTGTGATTTTGCCATGAGGAGGTGACATTGAACACCTGACCCTTCTCACCTGATGCAGAATTGGTGATCTCTTGTCCTTCAAGGAGGATGGGAGAGGAAGGAGAAGTAAAACAGGTCAGAAATCACAGCAGAAATCTCCAGGGCGTTGCGCAGCATGTCCTCGGTGCTGACGAGCCGGTGCTGCAGCCGGATCACCTCCGACTCCGAGGAGGGGTCGATCAGCGAGAACCGCCGCTGGTCCGGCGCCGCCTTCTCCTTGTCCTGGGGCAGCAGAGGCAAAATGGGAAAGTGTAAGAGCCTGAGTGAGGGATGGGGAACTCCAGGCAGTCTCCAAAATGCAGTTTATTCCATCCAAAACGTTACAGCAGTCCAGGGTCATGGGTGACAGAGCTGTGCCCACAGCTGTCAGCTCCAGCTGCAGGCAGGCCTGGAGACCCTGAGTTTAGGTTACAATGCATTCTGTACTTTTCTTTTGGTTACAATGCATTATATACTTTTCTTTGCTAAGCATCTTCATACAGCAGAACCAATCTATACCTTAACCTTTATCTCTAGCCTGTCATAACTACTATAATTACCATATTCATGTTACTGTTCTCCAATCACTAAAAGTCAGTACATTACAGTTTAAGCTAGAAGTTGTTTTTCAGTTTTTCTTGCAGTGGAAAATTCTGAGACCTTTTTTCTACTTGTAATTTTGCTGACTTTTTGCCTGTGCTATCTTTCTGCTTGGTAAAAACATCATCTTGTTTGGGGTGGGTTTATCCTTTACTCTAGGGCATAAAACCCCTTCTAACTAACACACCCTTTGCCTCCTTGGTTATCCTGCAAGACTGGCTCAGCAATTCTTTTTTTCTATATCAAAACTTGCTTCCATCTCTATTCCTTCATCAGACTCTACATTCAAAAATCTTTCTGCTAAGCACACATATCTGTGAGACTTTCTTGTCAAACTTTCATCCTTCCCAACAGGAGGTGTTACAGCAAAACCAAGTATTGCCAGCTGGGGGCTCTGTACAAACCACAAACGGGACGGGACTGCTGGGGAAGGCATCTCAAGCTGTTCTATTTTCCAGCATCACTCTCACTACATGGTTATGACAATGGGAAGATGCCATCAGCTCACATCCCAGGCAGGAGACCAACAGCTCAGTTTTACAACTCACTTTAAAAGTTTTTTGACCAACTGTGGAAACCCAGAGCACACAGGAGCTCACCTGAGACAGACAGGAATTTGCCTTTTCTTTAAGATTTTTCTTTTCTTTTTTCGATTTTTTATCTCTATTGTAAATAAATAAATTACAGCGTATACATAATTCTATCTATTATTATATGTTGTAGATTACTGTAAATAAATAAATTCTAGAATGCGTTATGATACACAGACTGCCAGCAGCTTTCCTTTGCTGCCCAGGGTCTGCAGGGCAAGAGGCAGGAAAGGGTGAAAAGGGAGCTTGTGCTCTGCAGCACAGCAGGCTGAGAGGCGGTGAGGCCCTGAATGGGGAGAAGGGTGCTTGTGCTCAGCCAGCTGCCCAGGAAATGGCCAGAAGCCCCTTGGCCTCTGGTGGTTCTGCTGAAGCCTTTGTGCTGATGACAGAGCGAGTGGGCAGGGGCCGGGGCTGTGGGGATCCCTGCCGGAGCGGTGCCTGGAGATGGCCACAAGCCCTGTGCCAGGTAGGAAGCACCATCCGTGTCCTCCTGCCCGTGTGCTGCTGGCTGGATTGCTGAGGGCTCCCAGGTGCCTCTGGATGGGGCTGCTCTAGAGCTGCTGTGGGGCTGCGGCGCTGCTGCCGGGCAGCTTGGCCGGGCTGGGGCAGCCCCTGAGGGGCTGGGGCACTGGCAAGCCCTGAGCAATGGGCTGTCAGAGGCCACAGGCAGGGCCCCGGCAGCCGCCTTGTTCCTGCCAGAGTTGACTTGCAAGACGGACCCTGGGCACTGTGGAACTAACAGCATCGGTGTTGTTGGGAACCCAAATGCAGGGAAATCTCAGACCTTTGGTCTTGTCAGCAAAGCTTAGAATTAAACACAGGATTTGATTGGAGACCTTGGAAAGGGCTTCCAAACTTAGGTGCTAGAAACGAGAATGTGCATTTCTAGTTTATTATAGCAGAGACACGGGGAGGAAAGTTGAAGTGGAGGAAAGTTTAGAGTTTTAGGGCTGAAGATCTAGAAAATATAAAAGTAGTTACAATGGTAAACAAGAAGCTTAGGATGCAGTGCTGTAAGTTTGTGCATCATAACATGATTGGCTAAGGAAGCGTACACTCTAGCATGAGTCCATAAGACAAAATATTGAAGGACTGGCTGCAAAACATAAATATCCTTGTTGGCAGTGTCTTCTTGGCCAAGAAATCCTTCAAAACTCTTCTAACTACAAGTCTTGTGGCCTTGTGAGCCATGCAGTGGAGATGCGAGCCAAACTCACCCTTCCTGTCTATGTAGAAGAGAAGAAAAAGCAATGGCATCATCTAAAACACTCAGAGGTCTTCTCTCTAGCTCTTTCCAAACTTCCTCAATTCCCCCAAAGTGGGATTTAGCTACAAAGAGATGACAAGGACTCTTAGTGCTGGCTCTTTGACTCCACAGCAGCTGCTTTAGAATCTTTCACATAAGCCTGTATCATTAGAAGAAATGTATCATTAGAAGAAGCTTTCCCAAGTGACTTGCATGGAGGTCTGCTTGAAGGGTATTTGAGGAGAAAGGCTCCCAGCAGAGGTCTGGGCTTTGGCCTGGCTGTGTCCCCTGCTGATTGTGAAGTGTGCCATCAGCTGCAGGGCTTTCTGGGCCAAAAAATATCATCAAGTCCCTTGGACTTGCTCTTTTAGGCCTCTAAGAGCTGGGCCACATTTCGGGGCACATTTGGAGACCTCATCTGTGGGTGGATGGACAACCCGGCATTTTCCCAATTGCTGGGAATGGTTCTCCAGGTCCCTGGTGCAAAACGGGGCTCCCCAGCAAATGCAGATCTGCCAGATGATAAACAATTGTCTTGGCTTGCAGAGAGAAGTGTCTGCTAATGAAGGCAGAAGGCTTCTCTGAAATGGAAAATGTAAATCCCCTCCCTTCAAATGATTCTAATTTAGAAATTCAAATGCTCTCAGGGAAATTTATAGGGATAGGACTGTGCCCGCAGAGCCGGGCAGCGTTTGCTGATGGTCTGAGCCCTTCCTAAAGATCCTGTGTGGGCTGTCTTAGACACCCGGGGCCAGGGATTCCTTCCAAGCTTTGGGCCACTTTGGCTGGGCTGAGGGCGGCCCCAGGGCAGAAGGCAGTGTGTGCAAGGGCCTTGGGTGGCACGCTGCAGCACGGTCTCTGTGCCATGGAACGGAACCCGGTGACCAAGGGCCCTTTGTGACACGTGGGAAATAGAAGTTTGCCCAGCTGCTGGGAACACACAACGGGGCAGAACGGGACAGAGCGGTGCCGTGAGGATCCCCCGCACAGCACACTCGGTCCTGTATGACCCGGAGCCTTTCTGAGGCGTTATTCCTGCAGCTGACCTCGAGGCCAGACCACAGGACTTGGTGACCCGTGGCCTTCCCGAGGCTTCTCTTCTGCAGGTGCCCGCACAAATCCAGTCATTATCATGGAG